AATTAGATCCAGATAACTATTTAGTCCTTGATTGCATTACTAGTCAATCTATATTTACGCTATTTACAGGTCATGTTTGCTAGAGCTTGATCTTTAAACAAGACTATGTTGCTGAAGCAGGTAAATGCTATTAAAGCTTGTTAACGAATCATCGAAGCTAATTAGTTAATATTGATGACCAGTTTTTATTATCGTTTGAGCTAGTATGTCATTAGGACTATTCAATATAACATTACGATAATGCATGTGAGCATTAATCAAAGGACTATTAGAATACTGGGTTAACATATATATAAAACCGATCGAGAAAGTTTAAGTGGAAATAAGGATTAACAATATATTGTTGATCCTATTATAATAGGTTGCGTTTCTTGAGTTGGGCTCACCAATGTAGAACTATGGTCTACTATAATATTAGTTCTGCTCTAATAATAGACCTAATCCTAAAATTGTAGATTTGTCATGATATAACTGCCTAATCTATAAGATCTTACGTGGAAGTCACACCGTCAACTACACCGACTCACTGTATCGTATCAACTACCATTACATGATGTAGAGAAAGGTTAGGCTAGAGAAGGAACAATATATTTAATATGAATAGAAGATATAAGGTAACATTCCGATGGACCACGCCTGCATGGTCGAGCCATGCCATCTGATCAACCTCAATTCATTCAATTCCTTGTCCGCGCCTTCTCCAAAGTTCGGTATTTCTCCGCGTTAAATATTGAATATCTATTTTCTGAGTAGTCTTGTGTTCAGCTTTGTGGATTGTGTGGTTATTATCCAATGCCACTACCAACCTATGCGTGGGGATTGAACGAGTTGGAGAACTTGTTATTATTTACGGCGAACTCAATCTCTGTCAACTCAGCCATTTGTAAATGAACTCGAGATGTGCATATATATGAACATGAGTCTTGGGAAAAATTTGACTATTTCGTGACATTTCGGAGTGAATAGGAGAGTGAAGGCGTTTTGCCGTTATTCCGACAAACTCCGTCACACTGAGTAGTGATCTAGAGTAGCCACGAAAGTATGTACTTCATGCACGGAATTCGGACACCAGTGTAAAGCTATTTTTGGCACGTCTGTCTAGGAATATAGAGAGAATACCTCCATATATGTATTTCCTATTGATTACTCCGCCTGTAGTTCTGTTGTATGTAATGTTTCCTTCACTGGTGTCTACATTTTCGAATACTAGTTCCCCATATGGTGGCTGGTTGAAACTATCATTACTATCTTATTTACAGATTCTGATTTAAAAAAAACTCGTTGATTTTATTACGTTTCTAATAACTGTTTCAACTTGGTTCTAGCCACCACTGTTTTATGGCTGGTTTCCCTTGGAACTGCTGTATTTAATTTGTCACTTTGTGAATCGATCATATCTGATCCATGAGGATGGTTTAAAGCGACGTTCTCTGTTTGTTTGTGGAACGTTTGGTATTAGTGAACGGTGGTTAGTTTTATTTTTTTAGAATTATTACTTTCTAGTTTATTTTCCAACCTCAGAGCTGATTGTGCTGGCAAATGTATTTTTCATGAGTGAGTTTTGTCAAATGTCTGTATCCGTTTAAAAAGCACCTTTCAAGAACAATTACTTTAACTTGTACATAAAATTTTTCACAGTACATCTTCTGCACCAATTTTTACGCTCTTCACGTCACCGTATGAAAGTTATTAGTTTTTATCTTTCTTGAAATTCTTGAAGTTTATAGAGCGTTACTTATATACTATCAAGTATGCATTCACGCTCAGGCAGTCTGTGTTCAGACGTGATAGTTATTAAAACAAATTTTTACGCATATGAATTCACACTTACGCCGTTTCGGATAAAAAAGTAGCTTGAATTTTTCCATATTTCGTCAACAACATGCTCTCAGATTTAACTTTGTGCACATACGTTGATAACTGCCTGAATGTCGTCACTTCGTCACCTAGACTTAGAACTCAAAGGACTCTAAAATTATGATATCTCTGTGAGCATACAGGGTGTTCGACTAAGGACTCGAATATTTGGTTTTCACAGATAAGGAACTGACGCCAAAAGTATTCTACTACTGGCCATATTTGAAAGTGAAGATATAAGAGTGCTCCCACACCAATTCATAGTTACGCACGACAGTTATGCAGAGCAGGTATCCCTTAAGATTCCTTACACACTGTGAAGGTGTTCTGGATAAGTTTGTCATAAACTGAGATCTTCTCTGCTCAGCGGTCAACTTCTGTAAACACGCAGCTTCGGACGGTCATTCACAAATCAACAGTATGGTCGAAGGATTCCATCAAACGCCGAAGATCTTTTTTTCGGCAGCAGGGAAATACCTTCATTCCTTGTACAATGCATGAGCAATGCAGCGAAATCAAACGTTAAGTGTCCATGACATGACCTCTCGACTTCCAGCAGAATATATAGATCTCATATTAAATTGTCATAAACGTAGCCAATATCAGCTGAGAATGTAAAATTTAGTTCCTTACCACAAATTTTAATCCTAACTCGCCATACTAATTTGTAATCCTTTTTGATGCTAGTAGTTTGAAGAGTTGTTCCAAGGTCACTTCAACGCCGCCCAAAGGTCATTCGTAGATTATGCTCTTGCCGCAGTTTTAGCTGCTGTTACGTTAATGTGCAGTTTTTATAAGTTAAATTCACTCGATCAGATGTGTTGAATTAAACTGGTCCATCCACATGCATACTAGTTCACTTCTAAAACATTTTTCAGATCGCCGCTTGTTCATATATGAACAAACAGTGACTATAGTCACTGTCGATGGATAGAAAATAGGAGGTAATGTGTGTATTTAGGCGAAAAGTAGACAATTAAGCGCATAAGTAGGCAATTCGGCGGGTATTTATACGAAAATGCGACAATTCGGCGGATATTTAGGCGAAAATGCGACAATTCAGCGGATATTTGGGTGAAGATTCGCAAATTCAGCGGATATTTAGGCGATAAGTCGGTAACTTGTCGACGAAAAGGCGAGAAAAGGAAAAATCCGCATTATTTCCCCCGGACAGGCGAAAAAGGCGACATTCTGGCGCGTTTTCCCCTTTCGCCACCAAAGCATTTACCCCTTTATTTCCCTTTTCTTCGCCTTTATTTCCCCCTTTTAGGTTGCTTGGATACGTGTAATCCGGCGAGACTCTAATTTAGGGACGACCTTTGAACGAATCTTAAGTGACCTTGACAATTATTATCCAATCAGAAGAAAGTATAAAGTGAAAATATGTTATATCAAAGTAATGAATTACAGTGGATATTCTCCTTTTACATGATTTAAAAACTTGTTAAAGTTTGATTAAGGTTCAGAGGTTCTGAATTCACGATGCATATGGAATAGAAACTCATCCATTGGGTTAGGGTTACGTTAACGGGTAAGGTTAGGGTTTAGGGTTGAGGTTATGGTTAGTTGAGAGTTAAGTTTTAGGGTTAGGTGAGGGTTAGGATGCTAACATACAAGTCTTTAAATCATGTAAAAGAAGAATATACACTGTAATTCGTTACTTTCTTTTAATATATTTTTACTTTATGCCGTCTTCTTATTGACTAATAATTGAAATTGCTCAAACGCTTCAGATTGGCTCGTTCCTAAATTAAAGACTCGACGTCCCATCTATTGTAACCCTCTCATTAATCACCTACTCTCTAAAATCCGCTGTGAACCGATCGTATGTGAGCATCGCGTGTTGAACTTGGCTCCGTGACCTTGAAATCGCTCAAACGCTTCTGATTGGCTCGTCCCTAAATTAGGGTCTCGCCGTAGTTCACTTTAGATCGATTAGACCTAAACTTACCAATTAAAATTTTACCTCCTTTAGTATACTTATGCATACCTTGGGAGCAGCACTTGTTACAATTCCATTATTCAGAGATGTCGGAAACGAACATAATACTATATTACTAAATAACGTTACTTGTAAACTATTTGGTAAGGGTGAGAAGGGAAAATCTGGTGGTTAATTATTTTAAGATTCATTTTTCAATATCTATATCTTTGGGATAACCATTAAAATGAGCCCTTCTCCACTATAAACAAACAATATTCACCATTCCCCAAACTTTTTATTGTAATTTAGTTGCTGCGGCAAATAATGACTTTACTGCAGTTTGAAAAAGACTATCTTGGCATGGACATATGGTCTCAATTCTACTTGAACAATTTATGAAATTCTGAGGAATTAAACATTTTGTTTGTAGAAAGTATCGTTATTTTAATCACAATTTGCAGGTGACAATGGCGAACTTCTTTTTCGCTTTTAGGAATACGACTACAAGTGTATTGCCGTATATTCAAAACAATACTAAGATCAATATGATATGGGAAAAGGTACAGTACAATCCGACTTAATTGATTTATTCATTTTCACCATCATAGACACCAGTATGAAACCAAATCAGTGGGAATAAACATGGCATGTAGTAGTAAATGCCATAAAAATAATTTAGGCTTTATTGAGGGGACGATACAACTTGTAGTAATTAAACTGAATAGTCCATTTCTATGTCATTGGAAGTCGAATGACTTAAAAACTCTATCTTACAATTGCTTACATTTTAAGTAGCAACTATTCGTATTTGTTAGCGTTTGTTGTTTTTACATGAGTTTGTCATTTCACTGGGAAGGAAACTCTTGCTAGTCATTTGTTTCGCTTTTTGAAATCAGTTCATTAGGTTTTCGTCAGTAGTTTGATTACGTGAACAGTTTTTAGTCAAACCCCCATCTATCAGTATTATACTCATCATAACAACCAAGACGGTTCAATCACAGAACCTAAAATACTTTATTATAATAGCTACAGGCGTCGTATCCTAGACCAACTGGGAAACTCCAATATATATTATCTAGATAGAGTCTTAGTTTTATTTGCATTTATCATCACTTTTTCATTCACCCCTTTTTCAGATCAACTGATGGGCGATTCACTGTATTAAATGGAGGAGCATTTGCTAGTCCGTACAAATACACACATTTACGGATGGTAAATCATGCGTGAAGAATTATTGCAGGTATCTTTCGTTAAAAAGTAAATCAAGCTTTCGTGTAGAAATTACATTCTCTTCAGGAACGCAAACGTCTTATGTGTTCTCGTTCGACGAAGATCCGAGAAGTTGAATTAAAAAGGAAAATAATTAACGATGGTTAGTAATTTCTTAGTGTAGTGACTAGAGTTGTCCACATATAGTTCTAGAAACTGTGCCAAAATCATCAGCGACTGCTACATGCCTCCGGGCAATTGAATTCGAGGTAAATAAGCAGGATATAACTCTGCGGCCTTGGAAACAAAGAAAATTGAAGTCAATGGATTCGACAAATAAGACGGTATAATAATTTTTCTTCCACTAACGATAATAGGATAGTAAAATTCATTCATACTTTCCACTAATAGACTTGGTTGTTTTCATCAGTATATATATATATATATATATATATATATATATATATATATATATATATATATGATAATAATTGAAATACAAAGAAATATAACCATCAGTGCTTATGTCTGACCTTTATTAACAGTCAAAGCTATCGGAGTGTATATGATTTCAGTGCTCATTCAGTAAATAGTCAATCAATACATCCTCGACCAGAACGAAAACCAGCCTGCTCCTCGCGAGTCAATCTTTCTCGGGTTTTGAACAACCTACGAAGTATGACGGAAGCCAATAGCTTGGACGCAATCGGAAGTAGACTTACTTCCGATTGCGTCCAAGCTATTGGCTTCCGAGTAGTGGGGTTAGGCAGGGTTGCCCAATCTCACCATTCCTCTTCAACTTTGCCATCGATGACATTCTGGAAACAACTCTGATGAATGTAAGTAATGGCGGTGTGGATCTGTTGCCTGGAGAAAGACTTCTCGACCTTGAGTATGCGGACGATATTGTCTTACTGTGCGATAATGCCCAAGGCATGCAATCCGCACTTAATCAGTTGGCAATCAGTGTCCGTAGGTATGATATGTGCTTTGCACCTTCGAAGTGCAAAGTACTCCTACAAGACTCTCAGGATTCCAATCCTGTACTCACCCTGGATGGTGAGCAGATAGACGTAGTCGAGAAGTTCGTGTATCTGGGTAGGACTGGTCTGCGTCAACACCTGAACTAAGGATAGGGAGTGAAGTAGTCGAACGAGTTGACAACTTCACTTATCTTGGAAGTCTGATCAGCCCTAATGGGTTGGTATCTGACGAAATCTCAGCACGGATTCGTAAAGCTCGTTTGGCTTTTGCCAACTTACGTCACCTTTGGCGGAGGCGAGATATCCGTCTATCAATAAAAGGACGAGTATACTGCGCGGCTGTTCGTTCTGTTTTAATTTACGGCAGCGAAACATGGCCCTTAAGAGTAGAAGACACCCGTAAGCTACTAGTATTTGACCACAGATGCCTTAGAAATATTGCTGGCATCTGCTGGGATCACCGGGTAAGTAATAGTGAGGTTAGACGCAGGGTATTAGGGAATGATGGTAAATCAGTTGATGAGGTTATGAATCTTCATCGACTGAGATGGTTGGGCCACGTATTACGTATGCCTGAACACCGATTACCGCGACGTGCAATGCTAACCGGTGTAGGGGATGGTTGGAAAAAAGTTAGGGGCGGCCAAACCAAAACGTGGCATCAGTGCCTGAAGTCACTAACTTCTAGTCTGAGCCATGTTGGTAGATGCAGACTACTTGGTTGGGGTCCGCGTGACTTTCGTAACCAATGGTTGGAGACCCTTGGTGACATGGCTCAGAATCGATCACAATGGCGTCGGTGTATACACTCTCTGTCTTCCCTTAAACTAAGAGATTAAGATCACTTCACATCTTTCTTTCTACGAACTAATTATTTTTTCCTATACTATATCCTTATTGCAATCTTTCTCTTATATATTACCACCTTTGACCTAACCACTCCTATGAATCCGGTGTTCATCTTGCTGTGCTAATGAGGTATGGCAACCTGGGCCGATGCATACATGTGCCTGGTCCTACGTTGTAGCTGACTGACTGACTATCTGGGTAGCTGCATAAGTGCTGGTGGGAGTGTGAGTGATGAGATCAATGCACGAATAGTGAAAGCCAGAGCGGCTTATGCCAATCTGGGCCATCTTTGGCGCCTTCGTGATGTTAGTCTGGCTGTAAAAGGTCGGATCTACAACGCGTCGGTGAGAACAGTTTTGCTCTATGCTTGTGAAACCTGGCCTCTCCGAGTTGAGGACGTTAGACGAATCTCTGTGTTTGATCATCGCTGTCTCCGAAGGATTGCTGACATTCAGTGGCAACACCATGTCAGTAATGCAGAGGTTCGGCATCGTGTGTTCGGGCACAGAGATGATAATTCAATTGGTGTTACCATCTTGGAAAATCGACTTCGGTGGCTTGGACATGTTCTCCGAATGTCGTCCCAGAGAATTCCACGTCGTGCATTATTTGCCGACTCTGGGACTGGTTTGAAAGAGCGGAGAGGTGGTCAGTGTATGACATGGTGTCGTGGTATGAAAGAAAGCTGCAAAGGACTGGCTTCTGTTGGTCCTTTACGACTCCCTGGTTGGGGTCTGAGAGATGGTGCTACACAGTGGCTGGAGACGTTATCAGATATGGCTCAGAATAGAAGCCAGTGGCGATCGTGCTGTAACGTTCTTTTACTTTCTTCATAAAAAGTGGTTGTGTCTCCCTTACCTGAAAGATTTCTTCTGATTGTACCTTTGCGTTCCCTGATTACTAGCACATTACCTTACACCAATCTCTTCGTTATTGTTCTATCTTTTTTTCGTTGCGCTCCTTAGCTTTTTTTTCTTTGTATTCCTCTCGAATTTTCATTGTTTTGTGTGGCGCATATATATTGGCGCTCTCTTGTACCAATATTCATGTGTCCAAATAAATAAATAAATAGTCAATCATGAATTCCTGTCCATTCTAACTAATACTAGCATCATGGTAGCATCTTCATTCCTTGTGTCTCACATTTCGTCAGTAGTTCAGTACATCACTCTGCAAATATTAAGCTTCAAAGTATATAGTGTTTTATTGATACAAGTTTCACTTTATAGTACTTAATTTTCATGCTATTAGGTAATAGTTTCAGTACTTTGATGTTCACTCGTTCCGATAGTTTAGTTTTCTTACAGCTTCATATATGTGGTATTTGGGTTTTCAACTTGGTGTCTTCTGTCTGATTTGCTGTCCCTAAAACATTTTAAGTTGCACTGTTTATTGCGGTCACACTTTATAATGAGTATCTAACCTTCACGACCTGGGATTTTGTAAGGGCGATACTTTTTGCAGAATATCGGTAAGTTTCGATAGGTATGAAACCCATTTCCATCTGTTATGGTTTTCATTTTAGGTAACTCTAATACTATCTATTGTCAGTGCCTTTTTTTAAAACCAACTGTATGACTTTTCTTATCCAGTCTCCCCTCGCTCCAGTTGTTATAGACGCATCTACTTCTAAAGACTTAAGTCGTATTCATGCTGAAAGTTTACATAAAGGCACTTTAGAATGGCGTTTGAACCACGCAATCGATTCTGGCCAGGCTGACCTAGCAGAAAAGATAAGTGACTCCATTGGAGATCATGTAAGTTATATCATGTGGTTTTCCTGTTACGTTTGTACTCTGAATCGCATTTTATGCAAATACCCTAAAAAGGTAGATTTTCAAGTGTGAGTTCGGACCACAAAATAATTTATTCTCTCCTACTTTAATTAATAACTATTAGCGAACTCCTTATTCTGTCTCGTTTTAAAATTATTAACATATAGATGCATATATTTATATATATGCTCATGCCTATTTAATCTAATTATGTACATCACGTAAACTCATACGACTAATTTCTCGATAAATTTATGAATTCTTGGTGAAATAATGATATTCAGCGTTCATTTCTCTCAGTTTTATTTTAAAGTATATTAAAAAAACACTCAAAAACTCCGAGAATATTTGATTGTGTTTCTAAAATTCACCCTACCAACATTGTTTAGAGGAGCTTTAAAATATTGGTGTCCTACTGATGTTAAACTTACTGAACGGTCTTTATGATGTAGTGACCCAATAGCTGTGTAGAAATAAAATAAAAACTCATATTCACCCCATAGACAAAACAGTTCTTGTTCTACGTACGCAATATATTCCTAATGTTCTGTGTCGGTAAATGATAGTTTGAATCCAATAATAGTGAAATTTATATTTACTATTTACATTGTATGTTACACGTAACATATCTGTAACTGTAACGGCCTCTTGGTACCAAACAAAAGATTTGAATGTAGAATTTTGGATCTAGTTATATGTTATTGAAATGAGGTAAAACCTGATCATATCATGCAAACAGCATAACTTGTTCTTAGGCAGCTGGCTTTAAGAATATTTAGACACTGAGAATACTTTAACATTGATAGTCATCTAAAAAGTGTTCAGAACATCTTTATTGATCTCTCTCTAAATAATCAGTCGTAAATAGTGTAAAACCTGGCACATGTGCATCATCGGTTTGAGTTGAGACAACACATTTTAACGGCGGGGTAAAATTATCAAGATAAATCCCAGTTTGTTAGAAGTATTAACATAATCAGTAGTAATAGTAGAAAAGACTAGACACAGAGTTAAAAGATTAAAGGATTTTCGGACCCAGGATATAAGGATAGACAAAGTGTAGATGCACCTGCGGCATTTCAAACGATTCTCGGCTATTTCACACAACAGCTTCAGCCACTGATTACAATATTCACGGAGATCTAACTAGGCGGTCTGCATTTATCTATATGGCTCAGTCGAATCGTCATGTCTCGGTTTAGTTGCCTTTAGCTTTCTTCCAATGTACTCATACACCAGTCATGATTGTGCGCCGCTATAAGTGGTGGCTAGGGATATGTAAAACCTCATATATGTAACAACCACCTCAGTTGATAACTCCTTAACATTACCAATCGATTCATCATCCTTATCTAGTACTCCGCGTCTAACCTAAGAATTGCTAACTTATAGTCCCAACATATACAGGCGATGACTCGAGAGAATCTGTGAACTGCGAATATGATCTGTCTCATTCTCCGTGATGTGATTCAGTGAAATCCATATAGATTTGTAAATCTCTCCTCATTTTCATCCCTTTCTCCTAGTCCATGTCTTCCCATGATATCTTCATATTCGATGTTGTCCATTCCGACTTTTGCGTTTAGGTCCCTCATCAGGATAGTGAGGCCCTTTCCTTGGGCACTTTGCTATGATCGGTTGCAGCCTCATGAAAATGATCTTAATCGTCGTCATCGTTATCATTAATGGGTGCATAAGATTGGACAATATTCATTGTAATTCCCTCCTTCGTTGGTTTGAAGGATGCTTTGATGATGCTGGATCTGTGAGATCCCCATCCCATAAGTGCATTTTGTGTTTCTTTGTACAGCATCAGAGCAACTCCCTGAGTGTGTGAAGCATTTTCCTCTTTGTGACCGGAGTACAGCAGCATCTCTCTGATATCTAGCTTTTGCTGTCCAGCTTTGGTCCAATGGATGTCGCTGATTCCGAGAACCGTCAAGTTGTATGTCCTCATTTCCGCTGCTATTTGACTGGTCCTACTGGTCTCTCACATTATCCGGACGTTCCATGTACCCATAAAAATTGTTGCTCTGGTTGTTCAAAGAGGCATCGGCATTGTGACTTTCAAAGAATCTAGGCTTTCATCATGAGGCGTCATGATTCTTCCTTCAACTCGGAGTCCGAGTTTAAATGGTTTGATTTGTTTGATCTGGATGGCGTTATTTTAGCAAGATTGTTTTCTATGGAGTGGGGTTGCTGACCACATGCCCAACCTTCCTCTTTTACCAGAGCTTGGGACCGGCAGTAACTTCAGAAGAGCTACAGGCGGGGTTTTATATATATATATATATATATATATATATATATATATATATATATACTAGTTATGAGGAAGGCCTACAAAGTTTTTCCTTTTACCTTATTCTCTCAATCCTAACTCTTGTTTCTTAAGAAGAAATACTTGAAATACATGGAAAATCGAATGTGCAATCTCTTATATCATAAATTGAATTGCAAATAATAAATTATTTGTTCATCTATTTCTGACATCGTAACTGGATTCAGTTAAATCAAAAATACAAAGTGGCGCATCTTAACTGTGTTTTTCCTAAGGAAAGTATCATATATAGCATATTGATTAATATTTCTTTGATAAAAACCTCTAGCTTGTATAGTTGCGCTACTCACTGAAATAAAAATTACAATTTATGAGCACATTTTATGGCAATTTGTAATATTCATAACTTTCATTCGTAGAGCACGTAATTAATGGGAATTCACAAATAATTTTTATTATATTTTACTGATTCATTCATAGTCTATATGTTTTGAAAACCCATGTTTAAATGATCAAAAGATTTATTATAAGATGTTTTATAACAAAAGATGTTTGACATCAGAAACTACTGCTTGTGCTCTTCGGTTGTTCGAGTTTGCTACTGATAAAAAACACGCTTACTATATATGTAGCCAAATCAGGTGCTTGAGTGTGAAAACCGAGAGAGTAGGAATCTTTGATAGGCTAACCGGATCAAAAATGTATACGCAACTCACAAACATTAATATATGTCCCTCAGAAAATGAAGTCACATTTTTAATCTGTAGCGTATGTTTATTTCCTTGAAAAGTCAGGCCGAATCTTGGTCAATAACGTGCGCCCGTCAGCATTTCTCACTTGTCATTTAGCCTATGTCTGATTGACTCAGCGTATCAATTATTTCTAGTGCTGATCCTCATTTGCTAAGTTCTGAAAGATTACTCTATGTTTATCAAATACTTAATTCAGAAAGTACAGCTGGTTCAACAACCGTAATACATTAATAATACGATCCATTTAAGTATAAAAATAATTCATAAATAGTAATTTATTGTGTCAGTCATTCTCATCCACCTCGATTTTTCCTCAAATCCATAGTTGTTATCTACAGCTTCTTCCGACAAAAATATTCATTTGACTTTGAGCAAGCAAGATGAATACAAAGAGGAATTAAAAAATCGGCGACCTGTATGGCTGTAAGTTTATAATTTATTGAGTCAATTTTTCCTGTTTTATGCTTTTTTTTATGGAACACCATATCTGTAACTGTTTGTCTGTCTATTTTTGTTAACTTTGAAAATTAACAAGGTTGATTTTTTATGTGGTAAAAGACTTATTGCAGTATCGATAAATGTAAAATCAAAGATGGATATTCACTAGTGGTATTGTATCGTAGTGATGGCCCCATATTATGAATTTACTAATGCTAAGAACCCCTGCCTAATACATCATGACAGTTTGATTACAAAAGTCATCCCGTAAGATGCACTGAACTCATCATTCACATGATTGATGGGTGGCTTATTTCCTCAGTAATACAAACTGTCTTGTTAACACACCAACTCACATCACTTGTTGCACTCAACTGATTGTTCTGTCTAAAAGCTTACTTTTGAAAAGCTAAAGGGAAATATTTACCACACAAACAAACCACATATACATATTCATCACTTTGAAGCAACAAGTGCGTATACGCACTAAGTCTTATAGACGACTAACACAAATTCTTTTGATGAGATTTATTACACAGGAAGTAAATTTATCTGATAAAGTTGTCTACATTCATTCAATGAAAAAATCAGAATAAATTCTACACATGATTAGTCACTTCCTACTCCGATCTTCATTGTTAAGTTAGACATGAGAAAGTTTCAGGTTGGCCAAATTAAGTCTTTTTGCCAGCTGATCATCAGTTATCATCTCTTGGTTTAAATTGTTTGCAATAGTTCTAAACATGCTTATGATATTTGAAATATAAGGGATTATTTGTTGATAATTTAAACGTCATAGTTTAGTAAGACGGTTGCGGAAATTTCCACATCTTTTCAGACTCAACTACAAACATTTAATATAAAAGATGGATTGTGGCTAGCAGCGAAATACAGGACACGCATTTTGTCGTTTTAAACTCGTCTACTGAATGTACGTGAATAGCATGCATCCAGCTGACGTGCCCCAAGCGAGACGAAACAATCGTTCTGGATTTAGTTCTAGCCAAAACCCATCTATTCAGTAAAATGTGAAAATGGCTCTATCGAGGCTATCCGCTCAGGGTGCATATATCCCAATTAAGACTAGTAAAAAAATCAGTCAAGATTTATCAGTAACGAAATGATCCAAGTCTTTAATTAGGTATAAGACATTTTTTTATTCAGTCCTTGGCCTACCCTTCTTTCTATTTCGTGCCTATGTTACTTATTTATCAAGTACAGATTTATGTACGAACCTGAGAACCACACTTTTTGTAAAGCTAGTGATACCATTGGGTTGCTTGTACTCGAAGTAAGAATCGAACTTTAGTCTCCTGGTTGAAAGCTAGGCGCTTTAACCACTTAAGCTGACACTCCACTTTAATTCTTGTTAATCGTTGTTTTCGTCTCTTTTTTCTGTGTTACGAATCGAATTGTGAAAACTTGACCCATTTTGATGTTGTCTACCTTATAGTTTCATAGTTTATCATGAGAATACGGTTCACTATTATGAACAGTCATAAGGAATCAATATTCTACATTAAAATGTGACATGTTTTTCTTTGTTAAATTTATCTCTTTCTCATATTGTTTCACTTTTTGTGTGATTTTTAATTAACCAAAAATCCATGTATAAAGTCTTATTTGATTTAAAGTTTTAGTATTCAATCTCTTTAGTAAATAATTATTAATGCAAATTTTAAACAGATTTTTGAGATTAACTCTGTACAAAAGAGCAGTTTGAACGATACGCATGAGAAACAAAAACTAGATTCTTAATTACTGTGTTCATAGATATAATCATGAAAATAAGCCAAATAGTATGTTTTATGAGGTTCGTAAATAAGAGAGCTGTAAAACCAAGGTTTATACTTTCCACCTGCATTTCGCTGCATATTTCGCATTAATTTGTCATTTGTTGTATTACCTAATGTTGAAGAACAGTAGATGGTTTGCTTAGTATGTCATGCTACTTATGCTAACTAGAAGAGTTCGATCAAATCTGTTTGACGCGTGGTACCATATGATTCCCGATCCGTTTATATGCTAAATACATTATTTTCTAAATCAATAACTAATTAGTACATCTATTTTATTTCCTCATAGGAATACTTCATAAACATTGTCTTTATAATTATTGTACTTGACGTTAAATAAAAAAAAGTTTCTATAATGTGTTGCTTTAAGCAGTCTGCTGTACATATGTAAGAATACAGTGCATATTTTTGTAAATAAACATCGGAATTAAAGAGTATGTACTTTTATCAGTGTAAATTTTCCCCTCGACTGCTTCTTTGTTTGTTAGCCCATATTTCGGCACCGTTCGTTCATTATGTATGTATCTCCCCTGTTTCCAATTAGTTTTGTGTCTCATTTTAAATTCATAGTTCTTTGGCACCCCGCTGTCATATTTTAGGGGTTATAGAGAACCATCCTGTTCTATAAGTGCTAAAATACGAATACAGATTTCAAAATCGAATGGTGATTGAAATTCAATGCAAAAATTAAATATCTGAATTGGTTTCGGATTAGTGAACACGGACTAAATTATTATTTATTTATTTAAACACATAAACATTGGTACAAGGAGGCACCAAGTAGATATGCGCCGCACAAATCACCCGGTTTGTGTGAGGGCTGTGATACTGCCCGGGTGCCCGGGCCGGAGCAGGTGGTTTTCCTGAGGGGCCACACCCCGAGCCTTTGACCTAAAGGTCTGACCCACAAGGCAGTGGAACATCGTGAGGAGATGCAGCCCCATGGAAGCCGGTGACCAACAACTGATTCATACGCCATTTGTTTTTGCAGGATACTGGAGCTCATGTGCATTATTGGTTTAGAGTCCGGTTAAGGCGCCAGACATTCGCTTTTCGTCCTCTCAATTTTGTAAACAACACCCCGCCTCGAGAAGGCAGTGAGTAGGACTTCCCTGGTAGAGGCTGTATACGCGTGGCCGTGTGAGAATATTTCGAGGAGAGCGGACTCTCCCCACTCTCGGCCGTACCAGGGCATTTGGAGGCACACGCACTAAAACGCTCTCATGATCGATTCAGTCTATCAACATAAGTCAGGGAATCAGTAGGTAACTTGGGTATTTTTAAACAACTGTAATGGTTAGTGAGTAGGGATAATCACTCACCAAAAATCTTTCAAATAATAATAAATATTATCAACAAATTAATGTCTCTAGACAATTTTGGCAGAATAACATTCGTATATTTAACGTATCCACAACTTCCTGAGAAAAGAAAAAGTTATTGTGCCATTGTCCAGACCAACCAATTAAATGTTAAACAAATCTTCATATCTGTTGTACCAGACGTCCAATGTAATATCATTTTCGAGATCAGAAGTAAAATAAGTGATTTGAAGTACCAATCTTCTAAGCATAGACTAACAAAAGTAAACATAAATGAATTAAGTATTGCTACCAAGGTGTTACTGGATAATTCCAAATGAATGAAGAACTAGGCGAATGATTTATAACAAAAAGAACAAAAGTATGCTACTAAAATGTATCAATGAGTAAAATATTAAACTCCTGATATTTTGCGACTTAATATAAGTCGCTTATTCAGTGAATATAACGGAAGAAATTCACTTTACTATTTATTGGAATATTACAAATACATTATCATCTTATTATTTATTATACGTCAATTAGGATGAAAAAAACCACTGAAGGGTAAAACAAATAAAAAGCACAGAAATACTGATAACACTAACTGGATATACTTTATCAAGTTTTTACTGATTTATCACAGGTATATTCTCTGAAGCCAGTAAAAACAGGCTGAGTAACGAGAATTGTGATAATACAAATCACCAAAATTTCATTGTCATTTTGGAAACTGCTAACTGAAGTAACGCCTCATTCATGATGCTTTCAATCGAAGTTACACGCTAATGTAATATGATATAGTTAATAACATCTGGAAATAAATTTTAATTACTATTTCACTTTTGCGTATGTTGATTTCATGAAAAGTTAAGATAAGTAGACAGATTGTTGGATATTACATTCTTACTACCTAAGATGGATGATTTCGTTAACCATATTAAGACTATTCTGGTCAGAACGGACAAGCCCTTTTTTCCTTAATTCAATGTGAAAACTGTTCAGAATAATATTCGTTTCATTTCCAGTGTAATAATGTGATTTTTATTCAAGATAATATATTCTTTATATCGATTTAACATGTTCAGCACTCGATTTCGTCATAATTTGATATATGTGACTTACATTTACATATATTAAAATAATTAAACAAGGTGTAATTATGGTAACATATCCAATATTTTAATAGGTTACTATATTGTTGTAACGTGTGGACTGTACGTTTTGATAAGCAGCGTTTTATATCGATCGATTACAGTGACACGGAAAACACATAGTGAACGACCCAGTGTCCTGATTGGTCTCGCTTCCCTGTCTAGCCCAGCCAGTTGAGTCTAGAACGCAAGTCACAGCCTCTGAGTTATGAATTATTGTATTTCAGACATACTGTTTATATACCAACCAAACAGACCACACCGTACCATAAAAATAGAAAGCAACATCTGTACAATACTGAACGAGTGAAATAAAAAATGGCCAATAGGGAATGCCCATTTAGAGTCCAAGGACATCATTAGACTTAACATGATAATGATTGGTATATTCCTCAGCATACCTAACATATATGTTGATTTATGAAAACTATTAAGATCATTTTTTACGATATCGAACGGGATTTACCATCATAAATGTTGTTTTTGAAGGTATGTAGCTTTATCTAGGTCTTAAGAATCGAATGAGTACTAATTGGTATAGACACATTTCAAGCCTTGTTACGTTTCTATTTTAATCTATCTTAAAGTGTTCAAACCTGTGGGTAGCATCCTCACTTTGCTTGGATACTCGTCTGCGTAGTTACATAAAGTCGCTTCTGGGCATTTTTCGTACTTTTTTTTTGTATGATTATATTAGTTAGGCAACTAGAAACAAACTAACGTTATCATGCTTTTCTCGTAGTTGGAAAATGATCGTGAAGTGGATATTGTATTATTTAGAAAACTTGGTGCTTAATTTATTTTTGAGGACTTTGTCATGCATATAATAATAATAAAATAATTTTAGGAATCAACATTCCTTTATATAACAATGGTTTTATTTCTAGTTTTCAGACTAAAGAACGGTGGGAAGCGAAATCGAATATGTAGCAATATAGCTACCGCATCCAACAACATTGGAGATTATACGAGGATTTTAAAAGCCAACAGTGTTGTTATAGTTTAATAAATTTCTAAGGAATAAACCAATATTTTACGCATATTTCACAATAATCACCTATTTACATAGTACCCAACATTAGATGCATTTTACTTAAAACACCACTTTTGTGTGCCATGGTTTCACCTGTCACGTTTCAAAAACCGGACCGTGAATTTACTTAACTACTGAGTTATGTTATTCACTTCTACAAATTTCAGTTTATTATGTACATGATATTCGTTCCCTCTAACTCACAAAAATTCAGTAGCTTATAATCAGATATCGCAATTAATTGGGTTACCTTGTTAGTATTGAGAATATTTCATGTTACTTTACTTGTAGTCATTAAGTCGTACATTCTAACTAGATATGAAACCAGATAAGTCATACTATCGTTATTAGGTAGGTAAACATTTCACTACTGGAAGTTTGTACAGACTTGCCCACAATACGTCGCGGAGTGATAAGACGGAAATTACTACATCTAAAAGCAAAAATAAAGGTGGTTAGACCAGACTCATTTAACTTCAGTAGGCTGTTTTTCAGATTGTCTACTCTCAGATTATTACTTAGTTATCAGTCGGAAGTGCTTCCGGGTCCTACACTTTATTGACCATGTCAACGTGAAATTCGGACTGTCTAAACGAGCTTGACAGTTGTTTTCATGTTTGCACAGCCATGTACAAATCCAATTATACCAATTGGATTCAACCAGTATACCTCGATGACTGTAGATAGTCTAGTCTCTAACTTAGATAAATATTCATCCCCTTAGTAGGTCCTCTGATATTGCAGCCTATTTGCACTATGAAGAATAGCTACTTATATGAAATCTCCAGGGTGACAAGTGTGGGCAAAATATCACATCAAGTTTTTCGATCTTTAATTCGTTGCCATTCTCATAATTAACAAATCTATGTTGCGTTTCTTTTATGCACCAGCAAGATCCAGAATTTATAGCTAATGTTTGTCGAGAAACATGCGAATCACATTTCCAACGTACCACTAAGATATTTAGTAAGAATTATTTTATATACGATCACCTCGGCGAACTGTTATCTATGCATTTATTACGACGGCATATGTACTGCTAGGACTAACTACTAATGTTTTCAACTAGATTAAGGAGTTGATGACTGCAATCTCGTTATTATTGAAATTTCAGCGGAACTGATTAACTTTTTCAAATAGCGCAACATCTGTCTTTACAATTCAAACTCGTTCCATGCTGTCACCTATAATGCTGCAATAAGTAGTGTCATGGTTGCAGTAAGTCATCTTAATACAATCATATAATTACAGGTGTTCGATATAAGGGACTTCAAACTAACATCTAGATCATGTCTGACACAACATAAACAGACCTAATCACTTTAGCTTAGCATATCGACTTTTAATATCCTCACTGATTGGTATCATTTACTATGTTTATAACGTCTTGATTTGTTGCTAAATAAAGAAAACATAATAAATAATCGAATTTTTAAAAGCATTTATTCTTAAAGTAATACATCAATTAATAAAGAGTAAGTTGACGAGAATACAATTTAGATTAAGAGGTAGCAAGATAAATGCTTGGAAATAAACACACAAGATAGTCGATTAGACAAATTATGATAGGGAGACTAAAAGATTTTTTACATTTGTACACTAAGAAAGACAATATACATAGTACTGACACTAGAAAAGTTTACAGTACGTCATTTTTTTGATAACTGCCCAGATTCTATTAGAAAATCTTCAAAATCAGCTGCTTGTTCTCCATCTAATTCTCCTAACGATTCATCAGAAAGATTGAGTTTCGAATTGATTTCTTCATATACTTGGTTTGATTCCGTCCAATTTTGACAAGTGGTGTTTTGAATAGCAGCCATTTCGGAAGCGTACATTAGCAGGTCTAAAACAGTGGAACGGAGTGTTTTCGTCGGTAACTGTTCTTCGACTAGTAGTGTGCGCATCCCACTTAGGCATTTATTTATTACACTGAGAGATACGATGCAGATGTGCAATCTGTGGACGACTGATACGGGTCATTCTCCCGATCATCCAAACTACAAGTTCGTTGCCAGGCACCATTAAGGACTCTTACATTGACACTTGCTAAAGCGGAATTGAAATACATAAGTCCGTGAGAGAAACCATCAAATAATTGATACAACAAGCTATCCCAGCTGGTTTCAGATAAAAGAGCGCACGATGCATCTAGTAGAGACAAGCCGGTCTCATTCATTTCAGAGTTTTTCACTCTGACAAAATGAAGTTGGAGTTCGCAAACGGCATCCACAAGTAAACAAAAGTCTATACAGGGTTCAATGGGTGGAATACATACATAGGATTCACAATCATCAGAAGCGTTTAGATTAGTAATAAGATATCTGAGGAACACAACCAGGCCAAAAAGATGATCAATTGGTAAGTCCGTTGGTTCTTTTTGAACATCACTGGATTCCACACTCATCCTACAAGATGTAGTGGAGTCAGACAAAACATTTTCTGAGTTTAACATCAAAGACTTCAAAATACTTCCAGACAGAACTTCTTGAGTCATCAACTTAACACTTTTCAAGACACCAGCTTCCAAACCATTCCCCTTTGTATCAGGCAAATAGGCTCGTACATCTTTAAAACACCGAAATCCCAGACTGACTCGTTTAACATTTTTTGTAGTCAACTCGGCAAGGATTTCTCCAACCAAATGAGATGCGTGTGGTACATCAAGCTCTGCAATTGCTTTAATCTAGAGTTAAGGAAATAACCCAACAAAAAATATTGTTACGTCGAAAAGTTGAATTGAAATTGTTACATTGCTACCCTACTTAGTAAAATACTTTATCCGAGTAATCATTGTTCATCTATTTTATTTAAACACATAGACATTGGTACAAGGGGATACCAGATACATATTCGCTACCCAAATCCCATTTGGTATGTGTGAGGGCTGTGATACTGCCCGGGTGCCCAAACCGAAGCAGGTGGTTTTCCTAGGGGGCACACCCGGAGCCCTCGTCCTAAAGGTCTGACCTACAAGGCAATGGAGCAACGTCAGGAGATGTAATCCCATGATAGGTCCATACGCCATTTGTTCCCTCAGGATCCCGGAGCCCATGTACACCATTAGTTTGGAATCAGGGTTTTTCAACTTCTCTAGGTAGAATCTCTGTGTCCACCAACCCCGTTAAAGAGCCAGACATTCGCTCTTCGTCTACTTAATTTCGTAAAAAACACCCCTGCCGCGAGAAGGAAATGCGTAGGATTTTCCTGGTAGTGGTTATATGCATGTGGCCATGTGAAGGCATTTCGAGAGGGAGAGTTGACTCTCCCCACTCTCGGCCGTACCAGGGCATTTATTGTTTACTTAAAGATAATAAAATACTCTGGATTGGTGGCGTAATAGTTAGTGCCTGACTATTAACAATCCCAGGTGTTTTTCCCTTACCAAAGCAGAAGTTAATCTTCTAGTGGCTTGAAGTCAGGTACATAAAATATTTACTTGTTAAATTTACTTCTACGCACGAATTGTAAACATGCAGCAGGAACAATCATGTCCTGTCATATGTTTACGAAAAAGATCACACGGAAGTTAATCATGTTTCTGAAACTGTTCTTTTAATTAGCAAAACAAAAAACCAGAAATTGATAGTTGGCAAATTAGAACAACACATATAAGCGAACAATTGTTTTCAATTAGATCGTCATCAGGCTTTACTCTAATATACATGAATATTTATACGAAAGTTTTAAACCAATCAAGGCAATATGAGTCAATAATCACAATGAAATAGAATAAGTCACTACACATAATAGGTAAAAGTACAAGTTGATAGTACGAAGACAGGTGAACTGATAATAGTGAGAATAATAAACTACAATAACAAAGCTCTTATCAATAGTTAATCGTTGGAAATAGAAGGTCAAATAAACATGGGTAAATAGACTAGGAACAGTAATCACAAAACATTAAAAATCATTACGTAATAAGATGTGTGTAAATAATTAGATAGTGAAGAATACAAAGAGGCGGATAATGACAAACAAATAATGGATGTGGAAATAAGGTTAACAATAACACAGATAGAATAAAATAAATAATGATACTAATAAAATTTAAAATAAAAATTGTTAGTTAAGTTATAACTGGCCATGGAAGGGATAGGGGAGTCACGTATTTCTTCTGTACACATAGATTGGGGTTATATGTACGAATTCCAATGGCTTCAGCTATATATAGGAGACGGGAACGGACTCCGTCGGGAAATGATGGAGGTATACGATAGATAACTCGAAATGATTTCAACTTGTCTACTGCATGACCGCTATCAATAAGATGTGCTAGTATAGAACTGCGAATGGTTTTTCTCTGACCCTTTATGTACCAAGTTGGTAGATGTTCACTCATTCGTTGGTTAAGTTGCCTGGTAGTACGCCCTATATAGCTATCTCCACAGGAGCACTATTATCAGTTCACCTGTCTTCGTACTATCAACTTGTACTTTTACCTATTATGTGTAGTGACTTATTCTATTTCATTGTGATTATTGACTCATATTGCCTTGATTGGTTTAAAACTTTCGTATAAATATTCATGTATATTAGAGTAAAGCCTGATGACGATCTAATTGAAAACAATTGTTCGCTTATATGAGTTGGCAAATTACCCTTTGAATAGTATGTGACGTTGGTAAGACTTCTAAAACACTTTATCAAAATAACGAATTTACAGATGCTATTTGTTTGAGGGCATTATATAATCTATTAAAACAACTAAAAACCTTGAAAGTAACCGATTAGGAAAATTTATACCAAGTAAAACAACATACCTATTGAAGTGCCCACACAAAGGAAAGTGATATGCAAAGGCAAAACTAAGTGACTATAAAGTAGCATTATTGAATGTTAGTGTACGTTATTACTAGCCATAAATAATGGAATACTCGAAAAGCATGGAAATATGCTACTGAGTTATCCTAATGGTTCAAAATACTGTGTATGTGAGGACTAGTAAGGTTAGTTGGCAATGAGACTTGCATGTTTTTAAGTTGCATAACTGTCGGTTGCATATCGTTTTCTCCCGCCTTAACCCTAGACAATATGAGTGGAAGTAAGTCATCACAGGACACTACCTATTTTAGGACGCACTACTGCATGACATTGAAATATGTAAGAACGACTTAAACGGCAAATAAAGTCAGTTTACATTGTCACTGGTGCTTGAAATGGTTGATTTATGAGAGACAGCCCCTATTTATTTGTTTGCGTTATAGTACCTCATGATCGTATGCCTTTGGGTGGTTTAGTTAGTAATGAACTTTCCAGATCTTTAGCTGAATTAAAGCCATTCAGGATCTGTGGTCTAATTAACTAGCAGACATAAGTTATAAGATGATAACAACGAACTATGAAAAACAATTGTTAAGGTTCGAATGATAACCATAGGTAGATTAGAGCGACCGATATAAAACATTAGAGTACACATATATTATGACGAATTCCACATTGGAAATAGATCAAACCAAGGACTTTACGAATGTAAAGTCGCGCACTGCAACACAACAGTACTTACCGTCAGTACAACTACTTCTTAACCTAAGGGTTATATTTGGCTCTCAGTAGTTATACGCTGATGTCTGACAGAATCGAAGGGTTAGGAGTAAATTTATCCCTAAAGAAATCAGAGCGAAGGAATCGAATTCTGTTTGTCCCAGTTACTTTACTTAGGGATAAGTAAGATGAAAACGACAGATACAATTATAATAGGCGGGCAATAAGAGAAAGAAAAATTATGAAATCCACAATGAAGGACCAGCACGAGTATTAGCATACTGTCTGACCTTCGGCATTTACCTACAAGATTAGTTTATATATCTAAAAGATAACTGCACGTGGTCGCAATTTAAACATGTTCATATATCTATCGCCCTTCCAAAAGAAAATGATGTTTCGACATTTAGTCTATAGTTACCGATCTGAAATACCTTTAAGACCACACAAACCTGTTGATGTGTGCTAGAAAACGTCATAATCCATTGAATGAGTTACATTCATGCAGAATGCATTGATAAAAAAACTACTGACATGGAAGACAAACATTTATGTCTAAATGAAACGAAATTCAGCGTTGGAACTGCTTGGCACTATATGTGAGGAATCAGAATACAATTAGTAGTATCGTTGGATGACTTACTTTTTTCATGTGTGCTTGAACCTCTCCTAGAGGTACATTGAAAATATCCTCAACCACAGTTTTCATCTCTGACAGAGTTCTTTGCTTTATATCAGCCAGTGGTACAAACTCCTTTGCATTTTGGTCAAGTTTTGAAGATACTGGTTTGCAGTCAGACATTTCTGAAAAAAGCTACACACATTGGAGTATTTCAGTGTGAAACATTCAGAACAAGAAGTGTGAGTGAAAATATATATTAAACAAATCAGAAAGTAACATATTATGCACGAAAAGCTATGATCAAGTTTATATTATATGCGCTAACGAAAATCCTCAGCACTAAATAAGCCTTTTGCTCTTTTAAAATAGTGTCTTTGCTAGCATCGTACGGAATGTCACGGTTGGGTATTTCCAATATGGCCGGTATGGCGACATTGTGAGAGTCTATAAGATGACGAATCATTTCGGCAACATTTTGTACGATCAAGATAATAGCAATATCATCCCGTCCTACAAAAGTTCGAAACACATCTTCAACATCAATTAAAGATGTGTTTTTATCAACAACAAAGAAATTAGGTCGTCGGTTTTTATCAACCTCCCGGTTCCACTAAGCAGAAACCCGGTACACGTGTCTTCATCTCCTATTACTGCAATTAACTTCCCACGGGCAGCGGAAACAGCCATTCGCAAACTGATTAATATAAGCGCTGTAGAACTCACACAATGTGTGTACCGGGAAGTAGCGTGTGTAAACAAAAACCTTTGTTAGTTTTAAAAATAATTTCACAGGTTTTAACCAGTTCTTTTATTATTGTGCGATGAAGAATCAAAGAAACCACTCTGATATTTCGGGAAACAAATATAACAAAGTATCAGTGCTTTGAAATATGTCCCAAAATCGGAATGTAAAAATGAATATTTTGATATTTCAGAAGGACCTTAGTATTTCCATGCATATATTGATTTCTCTTAAGGGATACATGCTAGAATAGTCCATTTTAATTTCATGGCATTCTAAGTAGGTTAGAAGCCTTATTCCAAAACAATCAGCAGAAAATCCATTATTATTTATCCTCAGAATTCCTTCTTATACTCTATATTCAACATTAAGAACAGAAATTCAACCTGTTAATATTAATCCTTGAAATCTGTAGTTCTGTGAGATCATATCTCGTTTTGAATTTGTCAACAGGTGCTGATATTATGTTCTGGTGAAGAATTCCAATAATTAACTACTGAGTGAGAGAAACAGAACTCCAGATGTAAAATATTTAACCCTGATGTTTCAACTTTCTTAGGGTGACTTCTGAGGTGAGAAGTTTTAGATGGAGAAAAAAAGTAAGACATCTAAACTTCTGAATCACTGTTCAGTATACGGTAAATCAGTGTTAGATCACTCTATAACCTGATGTAAGATAAAAGAAATAGGTTAAGGTGTCCCAGTCCATTTTCATAAGACGACTCACTGAGACTTTTCACCACGTTGTTCACTGTCCGTTAAACTCGTTCACGTATATCTCGTTCTTACTTGAAACAAATACTCGCTGCTTGTATCCTGTATTAAAGATGTGGTCTCCCAAAATTTGGATATAATACGTTAAACACTTCTTCATCCATGTAGTAAAAAAGACCTACGAATTGCCCTACAGTTGGTCTTGGTTCTAAGGTCATTGCTTATCACAACTTTTGGATTTTGGGTTACTTTAGGTAAAGTCATATTACTTATGTCAGGGATAAAAGTCTCGTTGTTGTTATTTATTTGCATCACTTCACCCCTACTAGAATAGGCTTCTAGTAAACACCTATGCATTCATTCAACTAGTGAATCCAGGTTTTCCCGTAGTATGATCTTACTTGACATAAGTTTTATGGGTCTATAAATATTAGTGTCATCTTCAGAGAGTAGAGTACATGACTTTGCTGTAGTCGGCGAAAAAAGAAGAGAGAATAGGTTTTTAATCATATGAACTCCAGAACCGATAGATTTTGGTGTTGATAGGTCCGTTTTTTCCGCACCTTCTCATATCCAGATTTGTGTAGTAAGGACAGAAGGCCTACGACCTGTGCTATCCCTTTTCTAATATGCTTCTGTCAGTGTCTAGTCTTTTCTTGAATGAGTCAATTGACGGTGTAGACACCACCGCCTTAGGTAACAGTTCCCAGGAATTTGTGACACGGTGTAAAAAGCTGAATGCCTCGGGTATATTATTCTGTAGCGGTAAATAAATCCCCAAAATAAATAGCCCTGTAAGTTTTCGGGATTGGATGCTGACCATATGTTTTAGTGGACTCATCTAGCTGAAGGCGCTCGGTCAGGCATCCGCACCAGATCACGTGTGGTAACGCCGTGCTCAACATCAACCGCAATCGCTAGCCAGATTAGATCAGAGAATTCCGATATATTGGTAATCGCCGAATACACTCTTCCGATCTCCTCGACTCTGTCTTTTGATTTCTCTCGGTGGGTACAAATCATATTAGGTGTTACTGGTAGAAGCGTTGACAAACACTGAATACCTGTGACATCATCATTGGTGAGAATAAAAAGACAGGATATATTAGGCCCGAATTTATTTCTTTGCATTCTATACATCAAAATCAAATCAGTTCTTAATCTTCGGTAGGACAGAGTGAAATGTTTAAGCTTTTCAAGTCGTTCTTTGTATGATAAACCCCGGAGTTTGTGAACTGAATAGGTAGCTGCCTTCTGTACTTTTTCAAGGATATCCGGGTCACTTTTAAAACTGGGCTTGTAGCCTAAACTCAGTTCTCAAGCTTTGTTCTCACTAAGGTTGTGTATACTATTGTGAGCTTGATAGCATCTAACTTGATTAATGTTCGTCCTAAAGCCCATAGGGTTATGATCCCTTTAACTGCAAACTCTCGGCAGTGGGTTCTAGTCAGGGAAGACATGGAATACAATGTACAGCTCAAAACCAATTAGACGATTTGGAATTCGCAGATGACCTAGCCATCCTATCGCATACACATGAACAAATGCAAGTAAAAACAGCCAGTGTAGCAGCAGTCTGTGCATCAGTTGGCCTCAACATACACAAGGGGAAAACCAAGGTCCTCAAATTAAAAGCGGAGAACAGAAATCCAATCACTCTTGACGGCGAAACTCTGGAAGATGTAGAATCCTTCATATACCTGGGAAGTATCATCTATGAACAAGGAGGATCAGATGCAGACGTAAATGAAAGGATTGGCCAAGCAAGAGCCACATTCCTACAGTTGAAGAAAATATGGAACTAAAAACGTCAACCAATATCAAAGTGAGAATCTTCAGTATGAACGTCAAGACAGTTCTACTGTACGGAGCTTAAACTTGAAGAACTAACACGTACATCATCAAGGCGGTACACGTATTTATAAAGTTTTCTATGCAAGGTACTCAACATCCATTGGCCGGATACCATCAGGAACAGCCTTTTGTGGGAGAGGACAAACCAGCTTCCAGCTGAAGAGAAGATTAGGAAAAGACTATGATGGGCAAGAGCAGGTACGCGCCATTTTTACAGGCATGATCTACAAATTACAACAATTGTTGGCTCACAGCATGCACACCAAGTAGGGTCGTTAAATAGATATAATCAGTAAAATTGAGTAGCGGTATATCAGTGCAGATGTGTTGGAGCGTTGATGATTAGGTTTATGCTTCAGTATTACACCGAGTACAGTCTTCAAAATATTTTCCAAAGTAGCATCGCGTCCATGTTACGCACCAAGTCCAATTCCAGCACAACTGTGTCGGAATTCCGGTCGCGCTAATTATTTATGCAATACAATTTTTAAGTCTATAGTTTTTACAAAGTAGACTTGTACAAACTTAATGTTCTGCCCCACAAACATGGGTGGATTGAAGTCACCGCCCTCACCATCAATGCTTGGTGGTCAGTAATTCTACAGTCGTGATTTCTTACAACTTGCAATCATATGACGTTGTCGATGACTCTACGTCTAAGTTTAACCAGTTTATATCAGGCACCTTTATGATTGAAAACAAGTTGATCATTCTGTGATATTGAAGTCGTTCTCCTACGCTCACCGATTTTATGCTGGATTAGCTATTCTACTAAGACAACCTATAACATTCTAACTCGGACTTATACACTAGGACTGTGCGGCTGGCATCGGATTAAAAACTAAAAAAACCAGACAATAAAAGATATAGTTTTTAGTTTTCTTAACACTTTACTCTCTGAATGTACTTTCCGTTCTAATAAACAGCCTTTCTTATTCCAAGCTTGACTCTTCTTCCTTCACTTTAACTTACTCCGCCCTGGTACCTATCACAACTAACTGTTCTTTATTGTTGTATTCTCTCATCTGGAGTCTCTGATCACATTTCACTCCAGTAACTAGAGCTAATATGAATTTAATCATACCTTTGTCTGTTCCAAAATGTCAGTCATTATTTGGCGTTCATATTCAAGTGCCTCGCTGCTCCTCTGTTTCTCTTCTTTTCGGAAATTCGTTTACTATAAGGCTTTTACCTCTATTACACCAGGACTTATATTTGCTTAGGAAGAAGTCATCTACTACACAGTCTGGGCTGCGGTAAACTACAAATAATTCAATATCTTGCCATGTATACTTCAGCTTTCAGTGCAGCGGTTCACCTGTTCCTGAATCATGTGTCAGTCTCAACAGCTCGCATGGTTAGGATACGTTTCGTGTACAGGATAATCCCGCCCCCCCCCTACGGTTTAATCAGCCTTACTGGATAAAAAACCAACCAACTGAATTTCACTATCATACACTTCTGAGGTTAACCATGTTTCTGAGACAGCAATAATATACATGTTTTTCATATCCGCCATTGTCTTGAGCACCGCCATTTTATTTTATGAACTTCAGGCTTTTGTGTAGCATACCTAGAATTCCGTGAAGAACTTTCCCTTATTCCACGGAGTTTAGGGATCGTTTCGTTACAAACCTTTACAACTTGAAGACCCTTAAGTACGAGGTTTACTTCACTGTTTTGGATGCGCTCATATATTTCTTTCTCTACATATCGTTTCTTAATACGGTCGATCAGGCTGAGATCTTCACGGTCGTATATTCCGGATACAATCAGCCTGCGTGAGTTCCCTAGTATTAGATTTCTTTCTTCAGACGAAGTCAATGTGACCTTTAGGAGGCAGCTTTTCTGAGGACTTTCAGAATACACCTTTTGTCCTATTCCATAAAGCTTACAGATGCTAACTACTGGAACTGTTTCTGGGAGTAGCTTGCTTATCGAGGATTAATATGACTTAGGTCTTGCTCAAATCTAGTATTTGGTTCCTTATCGGAAGTTTCTCTTAACTTGTGAAAAATTAATGACCTCTCAGCGAGGTCTGTCTTGACAGTGTGGAATTTTTGTTCCTGAAACCGTTTCTCCGTTTCACTCCGATTTTAATTCAGCGTAAAACACAGAGGTTATGGTCTGTTTTCTTACTTTTCTTTTCCTAGGTGTGACTGCGCACCACTCATATACCTTATTTTGTCTCTTAATCATGTCCTCTACACCGCTTAGACATTGCTTCCCATTAGTTTGTTTAGTGTTGATATGTTAAGCCGGGACTGATACTGTAGATATCTTGTGCCCACAGGTATACCTCGTTCTATTGATAGAAGATACTACACGAGCAGTGAATAGGTCTTCATTCAGATCGTGGTACAGTTACAGTGGAGCGGGAGATTACCTGTTCAAGAACGCAAAGCTTTCTAATATTCAATGTAAGGTAACAGGAAATGTAGTGCCTATACGAAATAAGGAAGTGAATGAATACTTGAGCTCCATTGTTTTGACATATACTTAGTTGTTTGGGGTGAAATCTCAAC